CAACCCCACACGCATGCAGAAGCACCAAATCTCCTCCCGTTCCTCCTTTTCCATCGCTCACCTGGCGCTGTGTTTGCAAGCAGCCCCAGCCCATCCACCTCTGGGTCTGGGAGACGCGCGAGCCCCGCGGGGCGGCTTCGGGGCAGCGGCGATGCTCGGGGCTGCGGGCTCCTGGCGGCCGTTCCGTGGAGCTCGGCTGTCCTCTAGCGCCCGCCCGGCTCCATGGCACGGCGGGGCCGGGCGGGGAAAGAGAAACGGAAATTACAGACCCGGCCCTGCGGAGCCCGACCTCCGCTTCTCAGCCTCCCGCTCCGTTTCAGCCCCCGGTTTTCCTGAGCGTCGACGGTTGGGGATGGTTGTGGGGTTTGTTTTTTTAGCCTTTCGTTACCTGCCGGCATCCCAGCCCCATTTGGACCCCACTCTTTCTGGTGTCCTGACACTTTTAAGCCTCCTACGCTTCTGTGTCCTCCCCTCTCTTACAGGACTCCCCCATTTCTCAGCTTCTCTGCTTTTGCTTTTCCACCCTCCCCCCTTTTTTTGAGCATCTCATCCTTTTTTTTTTTTTTTTTTTTTTTTTTTGGCCTCTAACCTCTTTTTCAGCCTCTCATCACTTCCAGGCCACCCGTTCATTTTATATACATATATCTTTTTACCTGTACATTTTTCTGCACCCTCCACTCTTTTCCAGCCTCCACTCTTTTTCTGGTACATCCACCCTTTTTGATTCTGCCCCCATCTTTTCAACCTTCGCTTTTGTTCATCCTCTACCTGTGGTACTCCAGGGGGGTGCAGGACGCAGTGTTTTCATTGCACAAAGCGAGCTGGCAGAGCTCGTATTGCTCGCAGCTGCTGCCTCTCCGGGGCTCCCCTACTCACAGCGGTGCTGGCGGGGGCTCAGCACGGGGCGGGTCTCGCAGCACCGCCCCTAAGACCCAGAGGCGAAGGGTTGTTTGGGAAGAAGAAGGAAGAAAAACCGAGCCGGGTGACCCCTCCGGCCCTGCCGGCCTTCCCCGGTCCCGGCGACGTCGCTGTGCAGTGGCGGAGCGCGACCACGAGGGGGCAGCAGCGGGACGGGGTCGCGCGGGGCTGCGCTCGGCCGGGCGCTGGGTGCCCGCCTGGCATCCGCGGCGCGGGGCCGGGAGCCTCGCCCTGCTGGGGGGCACCGACCCTGCTGGGGGGGGCGGCCATCCCTGCTGGAATTCCCTGCTGGCTCGGCATCGCTTCCGCAGAGTTTGCCTTGGAAAAGGGCGATGCTTCCCTGCTGGGCTGCACGCTCGGCTGGACCCAGAAAGGACCCGGAAAGCGGAGCGCTGCTGCTGCTTCCGCCTGCGTTCCACCACCACGGCGTTGCCCTGTCCCAGCCCGGCCGTGGCCGAGGCCCGGATACGAGGAGCTCTGCATTCCCAGCCCTGCATGCCGAACGCGATCTCCACTCACAGCCCCCCCTCACCAGCCCCTCTCCCACCCCCACCATCTTCAAAGCCAGCGACCTGGCAGCCGTTCTGAAACCCGGGCAGAGCCTCCATGCCATGGCTTGGCACGCAGCTCAAAGGCTCAATTAGCAACATCTGCTTTTGTGGGCTGTAAAACCTGCTCCCTGCTCCCCTCCCTCTCTCCCAGTGCTCACAGCTGGGAGCAGCATGGGGCTGCAGCCTGCCTGGGCCGGGGGAGCTGCACTGGGCTGCCCCGGTGGGATAGATAGTAACACAAAGGGATGCCGCCCTGATGGGATGCTGAGGGTGGTGGGGCATGTCTGAAACTCGAAATTGGACAAGGATCAAATTTCTCACCCCGGAGTTTGTGTAAGGACCCTTGTAACGTGCATTCGTGTTGGTCTCTTCCAGGAGATAAGAAATGTCAGAGAAAGAATTGGAAAGTGCCCAAGGCAGCTGGCAAGGTGGCGGGGTGCATGGAGAGCAGAGGGCCCCGCAGCCCTCCCCAGTCCTACTCCTCATCTGCAGCTTGGCCACCCTCAGACTTATGGGCTGGTGAGAAACAGGGCTGATTGTTACAGCTGCTGCTGCTCCAGTCAGCTAAGAGCTCCAGGTGAGATGCGTTTCTCACATGAGATACAGCCCCCCGTGCATCCTACTGGTGTCCCCACCAATTGGGGAGGGTGCACAAGGGGCAGTGCAGGAATGGGCTCAAGGAGCGGGGGTTCACGTGTATGCAAGTGGCACAGCCTGAGCCCCCCCTGCCCATAGGAATGGGACAGCAGTGATTCTCCTGTCCAAGTTCTCCTCTGGGGCCAAACAAAACCAGGGCTCTCACAGAAATTAGGGCATGCCCTGGCTTATGCTGTTCTCCTGGCAGTTCAGGGCCCAGAACAGCCATCTCTAATTCAGCTGATTTCAATCAGAAATTGTTTCCCTGTATTACAGGCATGGCCCCGTGTACCTTTGGTGCACCTGTAGTAGAAACCAGTAAATCAGCATTTGAAGTTTCATCCCATCTCCTTACACACACCCAGACTGGCTGTGTGCAGTAAGAGGCGATTGCTAAGAAAACTGAGCCTCTGCATCTCTGCCTGGTGTAAGAGAAATGCTGGCATTGGCCCTTGGAAAACAGCATCGTTGGTAAATGCAGAGAAGTCCAAGGAAGGCTGAGCAATCGGACCCTTTTGCTCACAAGGGCTGTGTGTAAACCATTATTTTTGCAATAAAAGAGCAGGGACTGGGAGGAGCAGTTAATGTTTTCCCAGCAAGGGGAAACTCCCAGGGGAAATAGCCCTGCACCCTGGAAACGGCCCCTTCGTCAAACAGGGCCGTGTTTGTGCAGCCTTATCTCAGCTCGGTGATGCTGAGCAGGCTCTGCAGCAGGACTGCTCCCAGCAAGAAGAGGTGCTGCGAGCTCCCACCAAAGCCTGGAGCAAGATGTGCCTGGGCAGAGATGTGAAGATCGGGGCTGACCTGGGTTTCTTTGCCAGGGCTTTCCTCCCCTGGAAGCCCTTCCTGCTGCTTGTCCTTCTGCTTGCATTCAGCCCACATGCACCCATCTCGAGCATCCAAAGGGATGCAGAGTCCTCTGGTCTGGAAAGAAGCTGAACACAGAAAAGAAAACACATCCACTCTGCTGACTCAAATAGCACCCAATGTGAGGAACTTTTATTGGCAGCCAGCTGACCCTTAGCAGAGCCTGGGATCAGCTGGGTGCAGGACTCTCCCTTGCCACGTCTCCTGCAGAGAGAAGTGCTGGCATGGGATATGTGGTCATGTTCCTCTGTGCTCCACCAACTGCCACAGTGCCCAAAGCAAGTATGTGGAGCACTCTGCTATCAGCAGCATCTCTTGGGGTATGACAGCCTTCAAGGGACTCCACTATTCCATCTATTCCAGCATCTCCTGCCCAGCTGGAGGAGCAGGAAGGGAGGAGAGGGGAGAGTCAGAGGGAAGCTGTGCCATGGGCTCTATAGTAGTGCTCTGCAAGTGCCACAGACACGCTACAGCCCATCCTCCAGTCTGGCCTGCAGCTTTGCCTACATCACTCTCCATGATGTTTGCCATTTGCTCGTTCCGGCTGTAAAACCTCTCTTGGCTCTTCCCCAGCTATTTTCTCACCTCAGTGCCTCAGCTGGAGCACAGCTACCTGTAAGAGCACACGCAGCCTGGGCACACTGGACCTGATGGTTAATGCACACTGGGATCCAGGTGACAAGAGGCCCGGTGGGGCAGCTTTCTCCTCCTTGGTTCCCCTCCTGACGCAGTGCTTATTGTCCTCCGGGGGAGGAAAGGAGAGAAAGAAAGAAGAGAGCAGCCGGGGCAGAAGCTGGAAAACCCAAAACCCAGAGCTTTAGAAGGGAATTTGCCTGGATTGAGCTGTTGGGTTTGGGGCAGGTGAGAGGCAGCCCTATGCTCATCCATCCCTGCAGAATCCCACCTGCCCCAGCCAGTCAGGAGACCCCAGGCAGCCAGCAGAGAACTGCAGAATCGTAGAGTCGTTGGAGTTTGAAGGGTCCTTTAAAGGTCACCTGGTCCAGCTCCCCTGCAACGAACAGGGACAGCGCCAGCCCCTCCGCTGCTGAAGGGCTGCTGGCGCCGCTGGGCGTGCTGTGTTAGTTCATCTGGGGACAGAGCTTGATGAAAGCCCCATAAATAGGAACACTTGAACCAGTTCCCACAGCCAGGTTAGCGCCCGAGGGTGAGGATGGGTTTGTGTACGGTGGAGTCTGGGAGCGGCTCCGCCAGCGGGGCTCGTGGCACAGCGCCGTTCGTTTCCGTTCCCGGGGAAGCCGATAGCCGGCCGCACGAGCCTCGCGTTCCACCAGCCCGCAGACGGCGTGCTGGTAGGGCCGGGGGCGCAGCGAGTGACCCCCCCCCCCACCCCCGTTAGCTTCGACTCTTCTTCAGCGCTGCCCGGAAACCCAGCGCTCGGGAATGGGCTCCTCCCAGGGCGGGCAGGGGGTGCGCAGCGCTCGGCCCGTGTCACAGCCGTGTCCGCGGCCGGGCCGTGCGGGGCGCCCCGGGAGGACGGGCGGGAAGCGGCGGCGCGGAGCTGTCCTTCAGCACCACGGCACCTGCCGGCCGGCGCCGCTCCGGGCGCTGCGGGGCCGCGCGGGGCCGGCGGGCAGTGAATGGGCGGCGGGCGGCGGGGGGGCCGCGCGGGCGCGCAGGCGCAGGGCTGCGCGGCTCCTCAAGGTGTTGGCGGCGCGGCCGAAGATGGCGACAGACTGAGGGCAATGGGGCCCGGCGGTGGGTGCGGCGGAGGGGCCGGCGGGCTGGCGCAGCCCACGGGGAAGCGGAAAGCCGAGTGAGAGCGGGGCCGGGGCATGCCCCCGCGCGGCGGGCCGGGGCCGGGAGCGGGGCCGGGAGCGGAGCCGGGAGCGGGGCCGAGCCGGCGCCGCCTCCTCCTCCTCTTCCTCCTCCTCCTCCTCCTCCTCCTCCTCCCGCCGCACCATGCCACGGCCGGCGGCGGCCTGTAGGCGCGGGCATGGAGGCGGCGGCGGAGCGGCGGCGGCGCGGCGGCCGCAGGTGACATTGGCGGCAGCGCGGCCGCAGGACCCCCGCGCCGCCCCCGCGGCATGATCCGCGGCGCCTGGATGTACCCCCGCGGGGGCGCCGGCGGCGGGGCGGTGTGCTGCGCGCCGCGCCGCAGCGACAAACCCGTGGCCGACCCCGAGCGGGCGCAGAAATGGCGCCTCTCGCTGGCCTCCCTCCTCTTCTTCACCGTGCTCCTCTCCGACCATCTGTGGCTCTGCGCCGGGGCCAAGCTGCGCGCGCGGGAGCGGAGCGGCGCGGGGAGGCCGCGGGGCCGAACGGCCCGAGCGCTGCAGGAGCCGCCCGCCGGCAGCTGCGAGGCGTTCCTGGGCAACCTGAGCCGCGCGCCGGGCCCCGCGCCGTGCCCCGCAGCCCGCGCGGACCTGGACTCGGCGTGCGCCCGGCTGCACTCCCTGCAGCGCCTGCTGGGCTCCTTCGCCGGCGTGCCGCTGCGCTCGCCGCCCGCCACCGCCCTCTTCTCCTCGCCCTCCTCCAAGAGGAACTTCTTACAGGCGTACTTTAGGAACTTCAACCTCTCCTTTTGTGATACTTACACGATCTGGGACCTGCTGCGGGAAATGGGAGGCCCGGACAGCTTGGATTGCAGCGTGGAGAACCTGATGGTGGATCTGGTGGCGGCGGCGGCGGGCGCGCTGGGCGGGGAGGCGTGCAGCAGCTGTGTGCAGGCCTACCAGCGCCTGGACCAACACGCTCAGGAAAAATACGAGGAGTTCGACCTCTTGCTGGAGAAGTACCTGCAGTCGGACGAGTACTCGGTCAGGTCCTGCATCAGAGACTGCAAGGTAGGAGCGGGGCCCCGCCACCCTGCCAGGGCTCTCTGCCGTGCGGCTGTGTGAAACGGGCTGGGATCATGGGGAGGGGAAGGGGAAGGGATGGGGCATCGGGCAGAGGTCCTAGCTGTGGCAGCATGGGGTGCTGGAGCTCCGGGCCCTCATGTCCCCATACTGGCCCTTAAATCCACGGTGTGGGACTGGAGCCTTGGGACGTGGCACAGTGCTGAGCATCCCCTCTCACCCACCCACTCTCACACACACACACTGCAGACCTCAGCAACGCATGCAGGTTGAGTAAATCAGGCGTGGGACTTCTCACCTCTGCCTCTGGCCTGCACAGAGCGCTGGGGCAGCGCAGGGCCTTCCCTGTGCACTGCTGTACAGGATGTACAGATGGCAGTGACCCGAGATGAACCACAGAGTGGAGCCCCCTCCCCATGGGCACAGTGGGTGCTCAGACATCTCCCAGCACCTCACCCCCTTGTCCTGGGGGTTGGACTGGTTGGTGTCACCCAGCATCGCCCGCTGCCCCAGCCTAGGATGCATGGTACAGGGGGCCGGGAGGTTAGGGCAGGTATCACCAGCCCTGCCTTTGGGGCTGTACCCCAACGTGTGGCCCCATCTCTATGCCCTGCTGCACCTGTAGAAGGTGGCAGAGCCCGAGTCTCGCAGGCATCGCCTTGTTGTCAGCAGAGCAGAGGTCTGCAGGGCAGCCCATTTTCCTAAAGTCACAGCGCTGCTTTCCTAGCATCTCATGGGCTAGATGTTGCTCCTCTTGGGCGTTCCTCTCCCTTCCCCTCCCTTCAGTGCTGTCTCCAGGAAGCTCAGCGGTCCCAGTAATTAACCTGCAGCATCTGGGAGCAGCAGGAGTGCCATAGCAAGGCACTGTGTGTGTGCATCACCCCAGAGGGCTGCAGGCACAGCATCCCTGGGAGTGGGAGGGGGATGCCCCTTGCCTGGAGCATGTCAAGGGACACATGGAGCTGCACAGCAGCTCCTGGAGCAGTGTTTTCTCCTGGGGAAGCACAGACCTGCTGGGGGTGGTGCCTTTCATGGGCATGGCCGTGTGGTGCTTCTAGGCTTCTCAGCACCTCCTGCATGGAGCCGCTGTTGGGAGGCAGCTGATGTTGGCATGCTGGGCTGGTGCCAAGCCAGGTAATTGCAGTCTGCTTACTGAACTTCTCCCTGTGGTTTTGCAGCTCCTTAGTACTCCACTTGCACCAAAGGGTTTGGTGTTGCTGCTCCGCTCCTGGCAGCAAAGGAGGCAATGTACCTCATGCCACGTGTGTGCCAATGGTGCCCAGTGGGCTCAGCGGAGTGCAGGAGGAGATCGGAGGGATGGAGCAGGCTCTGCAAGGTGCCTGAGTATGCCCAGGGGCATGGGGACGTGGGCAAGCTTGTGTACAAACCGAGCTGGCACCAGTGGTTCCACTGGGCAGTTCCTTCACCCAGTGTTATCCCACTGGCATTAAAGGATGGTGAGAAGAGGTTGGCTTTTTAGGAGAGCAGAAGGAGCCTGAACACAATGTATGAGGTGGGGTTTTGGCAGAGCTCCCTACTCCTGCTCCCCAGGATGGACCTTCCTGGTACAGAGACCTCGAGAGCAGTGATCAGAAAGAGAAAATAGACCTTGTCTATGGTGAAGAGGGGTTCTCACTGACTCCAGAGCACTAGAAACAGAGCCTGGCTCGGATGAATTTTCCTTCGGTGTCCGTGGGCTGAGCATCCTCAATGAGAAAGCAGGAAGCGAGCTTGGGAGATGCAGAGCTGAAGGCAGCTCCCGACTCACCCGCTGTCACACACACTCTCCTCCTTGCAGCATCTGCGAGCACAGCTCTGGGCAGCAACAGGAGGGTGTGAGCAGCACGTGCAACCTGTGAGCACTCACCCGTGCAAGATGCAGGGAATTTCCCATGCCTGAATTTTGCAATTGCCCACGCAATCTCTCGGCTCTCCCTCTCTTTTCAGCATCTGGTGAGCATCAGGCCGCTTGTTTGAGGTGCTTCTGTCTGCACTGAGTTGCCTGGGGGCTTTCAGCAGTGGAAAGCTCAGCCCTGCCCTCTCTGTATGCGTGGGTCCAGAGTCAGTTTGGTGCGTTCTGGCCCTGTTTCCTCGTGGCTCAGCAAGGCTGGGCTGGCAGCACTGCCTGGCGGGACTTTGAAACAGCCAGGCTTTGCAACCCCTTCCCAAGCACTGAATAATATCGCGTTTTCTGATGCTGCTTTTGGCCGTGTGCTGCTGGAGTGAATGCCTGCGTGCAGCAACAGCAGAGAGCTGCTGCCCAGTGGTGGCAGAATGCACGGGTCAGTGACAGCAAAAAGCGAGAGGAGAAAAATACAACAGGGAGGTGGCCAACAATCTGACCCTGCCTCCATTCATACCTTCCTGCTCCACAGCAGGGGCTGGAAGATTTGATGCCAGCAGCTCCATCCTGCTCACCTGTGCACCCCTCAGCCGCTGTCCCACTGCAGGGCCAAGTCCTCCCCAGCAGTGATGTCCCCAGGGAGCAGCACAGCTCAGAGAGCAGCACTGGGGAACTGGGAGACAGTGAACCAGCGTGGGGACGTGGGCTGCGCTGCTTTAACTGAAGTGTGGGTGCCGCTCAGACACCTGGAGGCTCCCCGTGTGTTGGGTGAGCGTGTCAGTTCTGCTGTCTTCCTCCTGCTTGTCTTGTACCTTTGTGGCTGCGGGGCAGGAGGGGCTCTGTGCTCAGAAGGGCTCTGGCAGCTGGAGACCCACAAGCACGGTGTGTGCTGTGGCCGCATCCCCCTGGAGACGCCCGGGGCACCGGGAGCCTTTGCGCACGCGAGCGATCCGCTCCATCTTTGCAGGATGCAGTGCAGGGGGAATCCCCTGTTGCTTTGAGCCGCCGTCCCGTGGGATCCTTCAGGCTGATTTTTTTTCCCTTGTTTTCTTGTCTTTCTGGATAGACAGAATGCAGCGCTGCCTCTCGCTGAGCCGCCGTGAAATGAGATGTTTGTTGCTTTAAAGGCGGTGGCACTGCGCGTGTGCTGCCCGACGCAGCCAATCGCCGCCCGGAGAGCACTCCGAAAAGCACGCATCCCCACCCTCGTTAGGGCAAATAAAGATCTATGGGATGGAGCCTGGCGAACTAGGGACTCGTTAAGCTGCGAGAAACAAAGCTGCAGAGGGAGAAAGCCTGACAGGCGGGAGCTGCTGGGCGATGCCGGGCAGCCGCCTGGGCAGGACCTGTAGCATCTCAAGGCAGATTAGATTAGCAGGGCTTCTCTGAGTGCGGGGCTGGCACTGCATCACCCTGCAGCCCTGGCTCTGTCCCCGTAATTTCCTCATTATCTGCTAGGGAGCAGGACACAGCTTTAACAACCCCCCTCTCCCCTCCAAGGTTTTCAGGCAGTGCAATGAGAGATGGAGTTTGGTCTCCTCAGCCGGGACACGGCGTGGGGAAGGCCTGGCTCTGCTGCACTTCTGCCCTGCTGTTTTCTTGCTCTGGCACAGGGGGTCAGAGTGGAGGGATGGGAGCAGGGGCTGCAGCAGCCACCTGCAGCAGGAGGGGTCTGAGGTGCCCTGAGAGGTGTGCTGACAGCCATGACCCTGGGTAGCTGAAAACAAAAGGAAAAGTGGTGTCTCTTCCCCAGAACTGCTCTTTGCTGGTGACAGCATTACTCACATTTCATGAAATGAACAAAAAAAAATCCCAAATAAGCAGTGGATCAGTGCAGTACTTAAATTGGCAATTTTAGCAGAGGCCATATGTGCGGGCTTAGCCGAGCATGCAGCGCAGCCCTGCACGCCCATCCCCTATAAACAGAGGTAATCTCTTTCAGCCCTGCACCACGATGTGATTAAAAAGAAGGAATCTGAACCAAAGGAGCGTGCAGTTGGCGAGCAGTTGGTGTGCAGTTGCAGCAACCGAGGCACGGTTCATACACCTCATGCAAGACCTTTGAAAACTCACATCAGAGATGGGCAGGGACTTCTGCAAGTAAAACGGGAGAGGCAGAAAATGAATGGGCTGTCGTGTCGTGCAAAGGGGGCATTTTGTTGGTGGATCCCACAGGGCAGAAAGGAAAAAGGAAAGAAAACCGATCCAAGTTTCTGACCGCAGGCAGACTTTGTGTAGCGACAGCCGGGTTAGCAAATGGTGCATGGGAGGGTGAGAGCTCCGTCTGCATCGGCTGTCACCGGGCAGCTACAAGTGACGCAGGTGCCAGCGCTGCTCCAGTGCCTGCGTGCTGCAGGCGCGTGCCGCGGTGCCGAGCAGCCCTGCGCCTCCAAGCAGGACATGAGGGGCGAGGCTGGAGCAGCTCCCCGAGCCTCCGGCAGCTGGAGGCGATGGCTTTGGAGAGCATCCGGCGTGTGAGCTGCTGCTGGGCTGCGGGCAGCGGGCGGTGAGCTCAGCAGAACGTGCCCCGTGCCGGCAGGCTGCGTGCTGGCGAGCTGCTGGGCTGGAGCGGGGCCACCTCATGCTGGGGCTGTGTGACAGGCAGCAGGACGTGCTGTCGCTGCAGACGAGGGGACCTGGCAGTGTTACGCTGCCTCGTGCAGCCCCGATGCGCTGTGGCACCCCGAGGCACTGCGACTGGTGCGGGAGCTCTTGGCAGGGCGTGAAGCCCCAAAGGCAGCGGGGCTCCGTGGCGGCGATGCCCGCGGGGTTTTCCTGTGCTGGCAGCAGGCAGGATGCACCTGGGCTGTCACCGAGATGCCATTAGGATGCGGCTCATACGTGGCTCTGCACGGAGGAAGCAGGGCTCCGCTGTCGTTTGAAGGGCAGTGACTAAAGGATAGCGAATCTGTGAATGAGACACGGAGGCTGCTTGGGTGGGAAGGAGCCGACCCTGCCTGCCCGCGGGCCCTGCTGCCCTTCCCCTTCTCTCTTCCCTGGGCTTTTGCCGATGTGGCAGTGGCATCCCCTGGCAGGGTTCGTGCATTGCAGATCTCTGCCCGGTGAGCATCGCGGTGCTGCTGGGGAAGGAAGCACCGCCTGCCCCACGCATCCCCGAGGAGGAAGGCACGTGCTTGGCATCACA